AAATACCACAAGCTGTAGAAACCTTACTTCATTAACTATCCAAATACCACAAGCTGCAGAAGACTTACCTCATTAACTATCCAAATACCACAAGCTGTAGAAACCCACTCTCGGGAATGAATTCCAAATTCCAAAAAGATCACTGGCTTGTTTGAAGAACTTCCTCCTGAAATCTGATTCAAAATACTTTAGTGTCGAAAACAAAATGAAAACCAATTCTAACGTAAACAACTAACAATAACGTTAGCCTATATTCTAATTTATCAAAAACTAACTGAACTAATTTCACATTCAACCCCCACAGACTTTTTTGATCTTCATATTATTTGCATCTAACTCAAACATTCTAACTCAAACATTTAGGTTATTAACTTTTTTTTGTCAATATACTTTATTATATCCAACATTAATACTTCCTGCCTCATTATAATAGGCAATTTAAAAAGTGCAATTCTTAAAGTTACATTTTCGCTAATAGTTTTAAACAACTGTAATGACTCACACTTCTATTTTTATCTTCTAATCTATAGTCTTAGTATCTGAAATAAAACTGTTCTGGAGATCGTAGCTCACCTTAATTCCCAAGATGGGTCGGTTTTCATAGGTTTTTCCAAAATTCATTGTTGATGCGATACTTGGATTGGCTGATGCAATATTCTGTATGTAGGTATAGATCTGAGGAAATTTTCGAGTTGAAAATTAACAAAATATATTTCAAAGGAAAAACTTTTCAAGCCATCTAAAAAAGCAGGAAAAAGTAACGCCATTATCATGATATTTAAATATTAAAATCCAATAGAAAGGTTTAAGAAAAACAGAAAACTAGCAAATTTAGGATTCTATAATTCTTTTGTTGTTGTTTTTTTTCTTGGAAAACCTCGTCACTGCATCTGCTTACTCTTTCATTTATTATACTGCGCATGCTTAGGAAATATAATATATTTTAACATTTTCTTGAGATATATTCGAAAAATAGTTTACACGACACTCCTGGCAAACGTCTTTCACAAAATAACGAATCATTATTCTATTGATTTAATTCAGTGGTTCTCAAAGTATGGTCCGCAGACAACAGGTGGCTCGCAAGGTTCTTCCAGGTGATTCGCAGACTGGTCCAAAATGCAAGACACTGACGCGCAACTCCACGGCCGAGGCCATACAAGAGAACAGAACAGCTGGGGTAGGACCGGTAGACGGTGCGGGGGTCTTTTGCCCCGACGAAGTGATCCAAGATGAAATAGTTTGAGAACCACTGGCACCATGAACTGTTTGTACTCCACCCACCATGGGTATCGGAACCAGATTCTTAGCATTATCAGCCTTCAAGCTTGCCGCTGAAACACCTAGGGGCCATTTTTTGATATTAGGTCTAACAGGTTTAGTTATCAGTAAGAACATTGTTAACCTTTTGTCAACACATTGCTACAATAGATATTTTCTTGCTTCTTGGCTCTCTTCAAGTCCATTTTAGATCCCAGTGGCTCAGCGGCACGACTGTAGGCTTACGACGCTAAAAGTCGGATTCTGACGCCCGTGGTAGCAGAGCACATACAACCCATTGTGTAACTTTGGGCTTAACAAATGACCAAACCAAAACCGCATCATTCTAATGTTAAGGGTGATTAGTTACCTAAAAAAAAAAAGAAGTGGTTACCAACAACCCTGAGATTACGACTTTGTGAAGGTGAAAGAAATTAGTAATTTGAGTTGTTAAAAAGTACCTTACTAGAAAGCGCTAGAGGGCTAGCCATTTAGCTCAGTTGATAATGCACTCAGGGTGCGAGAAATCTCGATTTCAAATAAAAGCTCGATTTATAGCATGAAAAAAAATGAAAATGGTACAAGCGTTCAAAAGCAGCATTGTGGAACAATAAGGTGTCCAAGATTCGAATCTCATCTTATATACAACTTGCTCACTTAAGCAGGTATTGTATTTATAGCAGATATGTGAAACATTTACAATTTTTTTCACATATAAATTGATTTTTTTAGAATAAAATTTTACTTACTTCTTCGAGTCTGTGGTAACTCCCGAGATTTAAGCTGGAAGCGGGCATTTCACTACTGTACTGTGGTTTGTTTTGCGCCTGCTCCATTTGTATAGCGCTGACAAAATAATATGTCACAGAATACAATTTCAGTTGGAATTCTATTTTTCCTTATTTTAATGGTTTACACACCATATAAAACAACAAAGATTTCAGAGTCAGCAAATTCAAATTATTAGCTGCACTTTTGGAGTTTTTAGATGTTGAAAAATAAACATTTACATTTTGTGATTATTTTTTATCTATAAATGATCAAATGGAATTATGTTGCCTAAAAGAATAAATATCGTAATCTGTTTAGAACATTTTTCATCAAAAATTGATCTTTCGCTTTGAAATTTTTCTTACTAAAAGATTAAATATCATAGACTGTTTGAAACATTTTTCGTCACAGATTTATCTATACTTCAAAATTTCTCTTACCTTTGTAAATCCTCATACACTACTGTAAATGGCATATTTGCATCCATTAGCTTAGATTCAACATTCTGAGCAACCTCTGGTGCCACACGAATCAACACTGGAACTCCAAGATAGTATGGTTCATTCCACAAGTCCACCTGAGGTAAACAATCCAACTTTATTTAAAATCTGTAAAATTTATTTATTTAAAGAAATATTATACCAAATGCTGCTGTAAGTTTATAAAAAACACTAAAAATACTTTCCTTGAGTTATTTGTACTTACACTATTGAACTTTTTCTCAAAAAGTAAGGAAATCAATTTCATAAATTTTATTATGGACCATAAAACTGTACTTCGTGAAAGCAATATGACACGGTTTATAAAATGTATTCTTAATGCAATAATAGCAAGTATTCCAATATGACACGGTTTATAAAATGTATTCTTAATGCAATAATAGCAAGTATTCCAATATGACACGGTTTATAAAATGTATTCTTAATGCAATAATAGCAAGTATTCCAATTAAAACCAATTTAATTAGTGTTTGTTTCAGAAACTAAGCTATATTCTAACCTTCGTTTTTATATTCTTTAGAGGATTTGTTGCTTTAATACCGTCACTAATTTTACCAAGTAATTAATGGCAATCTTTACCTAGAAATTGTAATAGGATTCCTTTCATTTACTACTAAATAATCATACTTTATAAATGTCAGGATTATACTTTAGTATATATATATGGAAGATGTTTACACTTCTATTTTAACAGGTTTACAACAGCATATAAAATCATTAATTTGTAAAATTTCAGTTCAGAATACTTACAATGAAGGAAAAGCAGTTCTTTAAGAATGAGACAATGGAAATTACCTCGAAATTTTGAAGACGGGATTCCATATTAAATATTAATTCTCCGAAGCACATATTGCTTCTTATCTTTGTTCGCATAGGATGAAGAATACTTGCTATTATTGTATTAAGAATACATTTTATAAACCGTGTCTTAGTGTCTTCGTGGTATTATGTTTAGTACCAAATGTACCTCCTTATAGTACCAACTGTATAGTATTTTTTACCGCACCATGTATATTATAATAAATTTTTATTGACGTAAAACAGATGACACATCTATAAGAATGTTCAAGGTTGATGAACAATGAACATCTGTTAAAAATACCCACAGTTACTGGTGTTTCACACTTTATAAACGTGAAAACTTATCACCTATTCTTGCTGCCGTCACAGCGGATTTTAAATTAAGAAAATGGTTATGTGGATAGTAAAATAAAGTTTTCTGTGCTGGGATCATGAAAGTGTTTATTTTGAGTGATAATTGTATATAATTATTATTTCTTTTTCACGTGAATGCTAGAAAAGGCAACGATATGACTAGTAACTCCCAAAACGGAAATGAAATTATTTAATTTATTAACAAAACTCTATTTTTTTTATACGATACAAGTCTTACCCATTGTCTTTCAAAGAAATGGACCTTAAGTGTATCCAAACAAATTTGATTTTACTTATTAGTTATAACTGCCACTTAGTACTTACTGCTTTTCTAGTACATCCTGAACAATGATTTTCTAATATAAGTTAATCAGATCAAACAAATTAAACAATACTTGAATAAGAAATCTTAGTGCTATCTTGAAGAATGCTTAACACCATAGTCCTAAAAGTGTCTCTTTGACTTAGTAGAATAAAATTTACACCTTGATTAGATATATATATAATAGCCAATTGTCTATTCCTTTGTTTGTCTGTATATTCCGAATGGTTAATCATAGAATATCTATATCTGTATCTCAAAATGGTTATTTTCAAGAATACATTACAGGAAAATCCTTCCTTTTTTGCAATTTCTACAATTTCATATCGACATCGATCCGCCAGTCTTCATATGTGCTGAACAGCCAATCTGAGAAAAAAACGTATTAAGAACAAAATTGTTTCTTTTTGTGAGGAAATTTCACGAAAAAAACGGGACTTCCTCGGTCGACTGATTGAAAGAAATATCAAAGATAGAAGCACGACAACTTTAAAAGAGCGCTCACTTTTGTAGGGGTCTTTTCTTGCGCTCAGAGAATGATAAAGAACGGTGGCATCCAGCGGAAATAAATCCCTACGACTACTTAGCAAAGCTTAGCACTCTAACGTAGTGGATGCACCCATTGCATCGAAAACCAATGATTTTTGCTAACAATGCATTACAGTCGGCCTCCTTTGCTTAAAAACAAACGCAATACAATTTTAGTTATTTAAAAATCACATGGAATGACAAAAGACCCACTAGACAATCATATTGCATATACACTCTGATCGAAGGGTATACTGCACATTTTATATTTATTCATCACTATTTTTAGGAAAAATACCACTGAATTGTTTCAATGGGCATCTGATAACTGTTTATAAATGCCAAATTTGATTCTATTAATAAAACATATGCTGAAAATACCACTATACCACAGCTAGGGCATGTGATTTTAAAACTTTGGATCCTAAAGAGATAAAAATAAATTATCGCTGAGACAAAATTCAAACAGTATCAAAGACTCCCTATGTTGAAGACTTATCATTAAAATATATATACATATAACTATTATAACTGTGAATAAAATAAATGCTGAGTAAGGTGGTTTGTTGTCATACGTAGTTCAAAAACTATATTTGATGAAACTGTGCAAAAACCTTCAGCAATGAATGAACGACTTTGGATAAATTTTGTTTGAATTAAGATCAAATAGTAAGAAGATAAGCTACATCTAACAGTTTACTTGTTGTTCTTCATCTAGGGATGTAGCGAGAACGATTAATTATCCAAATACACTAAAACTCAGTCGAACAATTTTATTACCTGATATTCTTGACGTAGATTGAGGATAACTGTCGTCTGCTCTTTTTCTTCAGGCACCACCTTGATCACTTTGTGTCTGTCAGAAGATCAGGAGGAAATTGTTTAATAACACAATATACATACGTATCAAAGTATTATTTTCAGACAACTTCGCAAAGATTTGCTTACACATACACACACACACACATATGTATGTGTATTTATAGACAATACACATATATATTACGAGAATTAAACTTGACAGATGCTATATTTCTATTACTGTGTGGGTACTTATCTATAGATACCTCTTATACTAAGTTATATTTTATGTTTCCCAGATTGTAATTTGCAGCCTAATTTCATTTATTTATACATATTATATGACGTTTTTCGTTCTTGGCCTAGTTCTAGTTGTTGGATATTTTTAAATATCTATCTGTCTATCTTTCTGTTAGTATAACTATCTGTCGGAAATAAATTTTTATCACTATATCAATCAGTTGTTCAATATCTCTAATGACAAGTATACTCAAGTTCCATTGTATTAGTGGGCTATAAGATTTATTGATATTGATTTTATTATATTTAACCATTTATACACAGCCATAACATTTTACCATCTGAAATATATTGTCCCAATTGTTAAGACCTGAAATGGCCTGGTGATTAGGGGCTTTCAACTCGCAACCTGCGGATCGAGAGTTCGAATCCCGTCACCGAACATGCTCGCTCTTTCAGCCCTGGCAACGTTAGAATGTGACTATTCGTTTGTAAAGAGAAGCCCAAGAGCTGTTGGTGTATGTGTGTGTGGTATTGACAAGTTACCTTCCCTTTAGTATCTCACTTCAAAGTTAGTCTAGCCCATGAGTAGCTTTGTGCGAAATTCAATATACAACAACAACAACAACAAAATCAGTTTATAGATCTTACGTTTGATGAATTTTTTTTATAAATTTCTGTAAAATCTTATTCCTTTTTCTAACCCCCCCCCCTCCACCAGTGGCACAGCGGCATGTCTGCGAACTTACAACGCTATAAACCGGGTTTCGATACAACAACCTTTTTCTACTTACTATATGAAATATCTTCAGGTTCATTAAAATAACATAACTGTAATTTCATCAAATATTTCTTAATCTATACGCGCAGACTTTCGCTCAGAGCTAAACAAAGGACTATCTGAGTATAGCGTTCCCTAATTTTGAACTGATAGACTACAGGGAAAGCAGATAGTCACCAACGACTACTCCCCATTCTTGGACTATTCTTGTTTGATTGAATAACTGGATTTGACGGTCACTCTTCTAAAGCGCCCATGGCCTCAAAGTGCGAAGCGCCCTTTTGCGACAATGGTCCGCAAACCAAGAATTTTCAGATTCCTAATCCGAGCACAGTCCGCACTTTGGAGATATGGGTGCGGTACAAGAGTGTCCGTCAAGTCTCGCTATTCCAAAAAGTTGGCGGTGGGTGTATACCTATTTGTCCTTCCACTAGTCCATTAGTTCAAAATTATGGACGGATATATGCAGGTAGCCTTATATGTAGATTTGCTTGAGAATTATAAAACAAACAAACCCCCAGTAGTTCAGCGGTAAGTACGGGGGCTCACGCCGCTCAAATTTGAACTTCGATACCTGTGGTGGGCACAGAGCAGATAACCCATTCTGTAGCTTTGCGCTAAACAATAAACAATTCTTACCCTGTGTAGTCTACTCGGCCATCTGGTGGCAAAGCTAGTGTCACAGCTAAGGTGACACAGAGTAACGACCAGCCTGAAAGTGCAAACATTCTCATACCATGCAAGTGATCCGGGTTTTAGGAAAAGACGGACATTTATTATATTTGATAACACTAAAGTTTGAACAGATGTCTTATTCTCACCTGCTCTGTCCAACATGTTACTAGTTTATTATCACCTTCTTTATACGTAGCCGTAAATGCTAGATACGTAACGGTAAAAAAAGAAAAGAAATATCACTCATAGTGATCCATCTGTATCATCATATTATAATGGATGTAGACTACAATTTATTAAATGCAATAATACTGAAAACAACCCTGTTGGATTTCGCGTGCTTTTCAGTTGATCGTGGAGCACTTGTTTAGACTATTATTTGTGTGTATGAGTGTACGTTTACAAATATTAGCATTTTCAACTAAGATTTTTGTATCTTCATATACTCAATCATATTTTTCTCTAGAGACCGTGAATATTGGTGTATCTAATGTAAATGAGGGTTTATAGTCGTTCGTTATCAAACTCTTTCTGTTTTTTTTTTCAGTGAAAATTCTCGCCTCGTCAATTGACTGTATCTTATGAAGAAAACAAACAAACAGCAACAAAAAATACAGTCTTACAAAACGTGTAAATGGGTAATAGTAGGCTTAAATTTGTCCTTGGTCCGGGTTATGAACTTTAAAAAAATGTGGGCGTGGATGCTATGATAAATAACACAAAAATCCTAACTTTCACACAATTTATTTATAATATAACATATTATACCAGTACTCATTGTTACCTTACCAAACGTTTTGTATAAGCTTTAAGAATTCAATTCGTATTTACTTATTACATGGTATACACTGTACAATGGTCAGGGTGACTTTGTAGGAAGAGGTAGCGATGAAAGTAGTGGCGGTAGGGATGCTTTCCGTTACCCACTTTCAACATTCACCTCTTAATGTCCTTCCACAATGTTTCACGTGACTAATTAATAGACGGTCATTGGCTGCAGAAGTGTCTTACGGGCCAAAGTTGAAAGGTCACGGTTCAAAGTAGGAAGTTGGTATAATTCAAAACGCGACTCTTTATATCAGCTTTATGGTGGCTGTTGGAATAGAAGATTCAGCTGAGTTTATGTATTATTACAATAGTGGCAGCCATTTTTTTCATTGCATTCCTCCTTAGAGAGTACTAGTGTACTCTTTGAGATGTATGAAACGTTGGCGTACCCTTACCCTCACACTGTGTGTATGTTGTTTTATAGAAAATGTAATTTTTTTTGGTGTAAGGAAGTGGCGCCATCTAGGAATGTAGTTAATTAAGGCCAAAGATAATAAATGCACAATAATAGCAATAATGCGGATGGAAGGGGTTGTGAAATCTCCATTAACATGCCTTTTGTTCCAAACTATCATCTCATAAAGTTTGGTTGAGATTGGCCAAGCGACCTAGAAGTAGTTAAATAACGGACATATAGACAGACACACAGATTTTTGTGCTTTATACATACATATATATATATATGTTATAATAGGTAGGCAAACAACGATTTATCAGCATAAGTAAAACTTTTATTGATGGTGGAAC